CCTACCAGGAATGGGTGACAATAGTTGAATAAACTTTTGGCTCTCTAAATGGTATCAGTGCCCTATTTGTTGGTACTCTCCGATACCGATGCCACCATTTTACTGCTGGATCAGGGCCCCTCCTGATACTGGTATCGGTAGAACACTAGTTTTTACTATAGGAAAGAGAACATTATCTTCTCTTGTTTGAGATTAAGCACAGACTCCTTAAGTGAGGCTTTGGTTTATAGAAAGTTTTACCCTAAACCTTTTCAATAACTTTTCATAATCTGTCATGGTCAAATCTTGAAATTTGTTTTAATATAGAAGTGAAAAAAATCTGTGCAGCTCTGCCCACCCTGCCTCGTGGCAGATTAAAGACAAGATTAAAAGGTCATGCGCAACCAGTGTTTTCAGGCCTTCATGGGGGATTTCTAGAAATTAAGGACACATCTCCCAGCAGACCTGACAGTAAAACAATAAAAATAATTTTATTTTTTTGCAGAATCTAATCTTATCTGAAAAAAAAGTTAGAAAACTCTAATCTTTAAATTGAATCCCTTCATTCAGAGGGGAAAATGCCTTGTGTGATGTATTGACAAATAAAGCTCAATTCATTTCTTAGCTGTTTAAAAGAATAATTGCCAAAGAAGATTTTGAGCGGTGCTTTCTAAAGCACGTATTAAAAGGCACCTTTTTGAAGTTCTGAATCATGAAATCTATTCTCAGAGATGTGAGTCATTCCTTGTCCTCCCTGCAGATTAGGTGGAGATGATGTATATTATGCAATGAGGAGCTGGTCTGAGATACATATGCACTCTGCTTTAAAAGCAGAGTATGATCACATCAAGTTCAACAAAACAGAGCTGGGATATAAGCCAATATTTTGATAAAATAAAAAAGCCTAAATATCAGATTCCAAAAAACTTTTCAAAGCTTTCATTGTGATACATGTTTATGTCTAAAAGCATCATCTATAAAAGTAACTAAGATGTCAAAACAACAAAAAAATGATAAATGAAAGTCTTACAAGGAGCATAGAACATGACCAAAGCGTGCTTCTTCTTCTTCAGAGCTTCTCTGAAATCCTCTGAACCAAGATGGTTGACACTGGAGGGTTTGTCCTCCCAGGACTGCTCTGGTGGTGGAGGTGCCTGGGGACTGGAGGGAGAAAAGACGCTCAATACAAACATCCATAACAGAGATAATCCAAAGATTAGTGGCAGAAAAAGTATTTGCCCCTTTAGTGATTTCTTCAGTTTTAGGTTATTTTTCCAGACTTTAATGTTCAGGATCATCAAACAGATTCTAATATTAGACTAAAGATTATCTATGTTGTAAAAAATGTGTTCAAACAATACAAATAATCTCATCTAGCATTTGTACTGACTGACATGAAGTGTTACCTCAGCAAGGAGAATCTTTTAGGCACTTTTCTTTTACATACTTGGCTTATTTATTATGAAGGGCCTGTTTAGGGGATTCTAAACCATTCATTTCTTACCTTATGCAGAGGCAGAGCTGCATTTCCATTACAAATGTGCTCAAAACTATGATGATATTCTGCTAATTTAGAAGATGCAAATTATCTCAATTGCAATATTTTCCATTAAATGAAAAATACAATTACAAATTGGACATGAGTGTATTCACAACATAGCAGTGGCCAATGTAAACACATGGGATAGATCCAAATTTTAGCCACGGCTCTAGTGGGCGCTGTCATCCTCTACTACCTGCCCTCTTCCTCATCTTTTATGATCTGGTACAGATCATGTGACTTGTGTGATGCCAAAAAGTGTGAAATACAACACTTTCCATAGGACCGGAAAAACCCAATCGATGCGTAAAAACTTTTGATAGAATTGCAGTGTTTCCATTTAGCAATTTTTTTTTCCTAATTACAATTGTATTTGTTTATTTCCCACCAGATGCTTTTTGTTTCAACTTTGTGCTCTGCTTGGCCAGTGGGTGTTTTCACCTTCAAACTTTCCTATCAAAGCATTTTTTCCTCTCACAATGTTGAATCATAAACTATAAACCTTCATTGACGGACGTGAAGACCGAAGGTTTTTAAGCAATGTTTGGATTGTTTGTTGATTTCCTGGAAGACTCTAAGACAACTTGAAGTAAATTTGGAAAGGCTCACCACAGCTCCGTGTTTTCACTATTATGGGATAATTACAGCTAAGGTTCATCTAAAAGAAATGTCCCTAAATACTTTCTTCAAGGACCGAAATTGATTTTTCTTTACACTTGAGCATGATCTACCGTTTTGTTAATCATTCTTACCTACTTCCTTTCCAGGTCCTTGACTGGCAACCAAATTGACACATTTATGATTCAAAAAGTTAAGTTAGAGGGCCAGGTTGGATAACTTTCATCCAGTTAACTAATTCAATGGTGATTTAAAAAATTCTTTATTTTCAGATAATATATTGATTCAATGACCTGAAAATAAAAAAAAAATAAAAATGTAAGAAAATAAAAACAGAAGCAATCCTTAATGAGTAAAAAGCTGTTTTTTAGAGCACTCTCTATGGCTGTATCCAAAGGGGTTTAGTTGTGAAACTTACCATATATCTATTAATTAAACATGTTTTCATTTGACAACTTATACATCTATCAACAATAATCAATTTCCTTCTAATCTATCTAAGACTATTTTTCCTCCAAAGCCTCATTAAAAGTGTAGGAGATGAACATCCCAAAACTTTATGTCAATAAGAATGTGAAGAAAGATGCATCAAAGAGAATTATTGCAGCACATTTCACATTGACCCATAAAAGCAAGGCTGAACTCTAAGCAAGGTGAAGAACCAATGTCTCGCTAAGTGTGTAAAACCAGCAACTCACTTGTGCATGAACTCGATGATCTTGTCTTTGGTACGGAGGTGTGGGAGTGTGTACTTTTCCTCGCCTTTTTCGAAATACTTGACGGTGGGGAAACCGGAGATCTTGAAGCGATCTCCCACAGCCTTGTGCACCGTGGCATCGACTGCTGCAAGCACGCCTGGACTCTGTGGGGGGGGGATTTAACAGAGTTAAACCTAAATTAGTGAACAATTGTTCCAGTAGACTAATAAGCAGAACTAGTGGATAAGGAGTGGGCACCAGTAACTACATAGGTCACATATCGTTCTTTATTTTTAAAAATCATCTAATAAAATGAATAATCGGATCGCTTTATTTAAGAATTTTATACTCAAAATACAAATGCTTGAATATTTTTTTATCATAGGCCGTTTTGTTTCAGTTCATTCACCCGTTTATCATTCCCTGAAATATTCTCTAAGTTAACATCAGTCCTTCATCTCTTTGGTTTTCCTACTTTCTTCATCACCTTTTATATGCAGTAAAAATGTCCTTTTTAGGTATTTCATACAAATTATACAAGTTTACCTTAACCATAGAAGAGTTATTTTTCCTATGCCGAAACTGTTTTCAAATAAATTTAAATACGAGCTGCCTGGATGATCCTGATGGGATTGGAAGCAGTCAAACCTCCAACGACATCAAATCTGTGCAACAGTTAACCCTAAATTAGGACCTTCTACCACTTAGATATAATTCAAAGAAGTTTTTTTTTGTTATACTCACGTTTTGTTATTTTCCCTCATATTTTCTACATTTCCTACACTGTGCAGGTTTGTACAACATGGAGGCCTCTTGTCCGTTCATTAATGATTTCAGCTGATATGATATTTTATGCTTTCTGTGATTTTCAATGTTTTCATTCACCTTTACACACACAGATCTTAAAACCCCCATTAAGATTATCCCAGATCAAACTACCTTAAAACGATCAGCTCTTCTAGACATCCATAAAAAATTCCCAGAAGCCAGCTGGTTGTTAAAATAAACAAACCTGTACGACATATCTGCTTAAAGTTTTGGATCCTTATGTCATGTAGCCTCAAAGACTCATAACTTTACTTCCTGCAGTATCTTGGAAAAGGATCATTTTTTTACATTTTAAATGAGGGGAATGTTCAGTTCAGCTGCTCTTTGAAAGCCGGGAAGGTCTGATGGAGAACATTTAAGAAACAGCATCATGTAGATCAATGAACACAGCAGACGGGGTATTAAAGAAATAAAACAGCCATGCTTTAAACATTTCATATACTGCAGCTTTGTTCAATGACTATAAAAAACAACCATTTTAACTAAACTGACAGACAATGAGAGCGTTAACCTGAGCTGCAGCCAAGAGGCCAATAATAGCTGCAAAGATTCACAGAGGCGATGGTGGCTTTAGCTACAATGGAGTTTGTCACCATCAGCGTGGGAAGGTGTGTGAATGAGAGAATGACTGAATGAAATGCTTTGGGGCCTTTTACTACATAAAGGACTATACCAGAACAGATTATTCACCTTTTACTGTACAGCTGGGAAGATCTGTAAACAGAGCAACTGTTGCAGCAGAAATGCATTCTACTAATTGGCCTTCATGGGAAAATGGAAGCAAAAATGGAACCTGTTTGAAGTTTGTAAAAACCGAAAGTTGAAACTTTAGCCCTGTTTGAGCTTGAAAAGGATTGTGCAAAATAAATAGTCTAAAGTTCCAGACTCCAGGTGTGGAAAGGTGATAGGGCCCCAAAAAGCTGCAGTCGGAGGAAAAATGTGTTTCTGCAAAGCACTTCCTCAGAGAGCAGACGATAAAAGCACACCCTCTTTTAAAGAAGTATCACTGAAACTTCAAAAAAAAAAAATGAATGAATCCAACATAAAGGAAACTAAAAGTCATTCAAGTTTTTAGAAAGATTAAATTGGTATATTGATGGTGGCTTGTTAAGGTTCTGATGGCATTAAAGAAAAGGTTAAACTTTTCAAGCAGATCAGTTTCCCCACACTGAGAAGGTACCACAAAACACAGACTGAAGCTTTTCCCTTAAATCATAATACAACCTAATGCAAGGGAACAACCGTAGCAAAGCGTGGAAATAAAACACAAAAACTTAGCAGTATGCAAGATTCTAGGAACTCAGGGAGACAGCAAGTCGTCTTCAGCAATATTGGATAATAGCCAGCAATTTGGTCTTGACCTCCAGGGCTAAGCTGAGAGCCACAAGGACAAAGACGGAGCACTGGCCAGCAGAAAGCTGGGATGATGAGGTAACTGCTGCAGTCAACAGGCTGGACTTCTGTAGGTTTGGGAGTGTGAACTTAACACAGAGAACATTGGAAAAGAGAGCAGGGAGAACCACACCCGGCTAATCAGAAACATCGGGAACTGGGCTGCAGCACAGAATCCCCAACATGTCGCCAACAACTACAGGCAAAGGATGTGGGACTATCAACATTTTTATCATAGGGCACAGCTGCATCTTATCATAAACAGAATCGTTTAATATTAAATATTAAACAAGCACAGCTCACGTGTAAAAAAATAAAGTCCAGAAACTTACGTCTGCAGCTTTGTTGAGTACTTCAGCGGCGTCGTCATACTCTGGCTTCATTTTCTTGCAGTGGCCACACCCTAAAGAGTCCAAAAACACGTCTTACAGCCAAACAGATGGGTTTTTAAAGACTTTTTGTAATATGGATACTTAAAATGACTGTAAATAAAACTGCAAAAGATATGCACCCATATTAAATAAATCTCACAAAAGAATAACAAATCAATTTAATTTCACTGCAGGGAGGACAGGGGTGGGGGGGGCCTGAGACAACTACTCACCATGAGGGGAAAAGTCAACTCTGATCACCTTGTTGCACTATGGAATATGGATGTAAATATGAACGGATAATCGTGACAAACTAAATAGAATGTATTGCTCAGACCTTGTCCTTTATCATTATGGAAAAGCATGGGGGGGGTGACAGTGACACTCTCAGTTACAGCTAGATTTATGGAAAAGTTAAGAATGTCTGAAGAAGCTTCTGTCAGTCATGGCAGACCGACAGCATGACAGATGCCTTAATCTGAGAAGCCTGCTGTTGCCGGGGCCTCGGCCCTTCAATCTGTCCATTAAATCAAGTTTACAACTTCACCTGCGTGATGACAGGGAGCGCCACTCAGTGCATCGCCTGTTAACAAACATGAAGCGGGAATTCATAATTAAAAGTAGAAGAGCTTTATTTTTTTATAGCACCGCTCCAGCCATAACAAGCAGCCATAAATCAAACAGACACAAGCAGAAATATTCAACCCGCTTACTTCGACACAATGTAAAGACGTGGATGGAAGATAATGACAATAAATTGCTATAAATCTATTTTATCTAAGACGTTTGCAAAAACAAAGTTGAGTTTACTAAGAAGATGAAAAGTGAACTGTGCAGCATTAGAGTGTAAAAATGATATATAATAATAAGATGATATATAATAGAGCTATAAAAATCTTAGATAAAAAACCAATCAGGTCCCATCACTGTGTTAGTCTGAACAATTTAAAAAATGCTACATTTTGAGAACTTTGTCAAATTTGCTCAGTTAAAACTGGTTTAACTGAGCAAATTTCCTTCGGACATTTGGACAATCAGCTTTCACTGTACAAGGCACCAATAATGGAATACATTACCTACAGAACTGAAGGTCCTTTTTAAACATAAACATAAGACTTTTTATTGAGAGGTCAGACATGTGAACATTAATAATCCAACTGACCTGATCTTGTATCTGTGATGTTTTAGTGTGTAATTTGTTCTGTTGTGCGTTGTTGTACAGTTTCTGTGTTTTGTGTAAAAGCCTAACTGGGGACAGGCATTGAGAATTAGCCTTAGCTAAAATGTTGTAGTGTGTGACATGATTCATGAAACATACTTGTCCCTATCAAATAAACAAACAAATAAATAAATAAAAATAAAGAACACCTTCAATAAAAAGTTGCAGTTATGCTGCTCACCAAACTACTTATCAAGACAGCTGTTAAAAAAAAAATTAAACAGGGTGATACTAACAGAGAAAGGAACGCATATGAAATAGGCTTTATCGTATACTATAGGGCTGCAACTAACGATTATTTTGCTAATCGATTAATCTGTTGATTATTTTTTTCGATTAATAGATTATTTAGATAATAATTAGATAGCAAAAGGTTCCTTACAGAAGATTTTTTTTGTGAAATTAAACAAGACAAAAGAAAAAGATTTACATCTTAAATGCAAAATTTTTACAGTTATTTTTTACAATCTTGGTATAATTCCTGTTCTAAATTAGTCGCCCTGTTAGCTGAAGGCTGTTTTAAAGTCTCTAAACTCCAGTCAACATTAGATTACTAAACTAGTTGAGAATTATTTCAATAATCAATTAAAGCTACAGTGTGTAATAATTACAGGGATATACAGTCAGAAATGTAATATATTATACATAACTATGTTATTTATCATCATCTACGAGCTCAGCCTCTTAACCGTAATATTTGCGTTGCCTTAGAATTCGTTATTTATAATTACATAGGAGCGGGTCTCGCAGCCATGGAGGCAGACATCTTTGCGCTACGGCAACCGCAGAGGCAACAAACTAGCGATTGCGAGATCGCCCATTACGCTCGAAAGTAACTACGGCAAGTTGAGAGAGATGAACTGAGACGGTACTGAACAATAGATGGCAGTATTATGCCTGAGAATACTATCTGTAAAATTATCTATGTAAACAAACTTCATCATTTGAGAAGGTAGGTGATGCGGACGTCGTGGAAGACATTTTGTCCCGTAACGCTCGCCGTACTGTTGGGGGGAGAAGCGGTGGGGGGGAGATGTTCATGTTGCTGCGGTCTGCAGTCTGGACGTTAGATGTCGCTAAAAATTACACACTGTAGCTTTAACTACAATTAATCTTATTGAATGTTTCAGCCCTAGTATACTAATATCATTTGTTTTAGCCCCAAGATGAGATGAGACTGAAGCTTCTGTTGCTTTTAGTCCTGCTGGTTAGTTTGCTGAAGCAACGCTCCACCCGTTTCCCCCCTGGCCTATATATAAAGCAAAACACTGGTTTGAGCTGAAAAAGCTAAGTTAGCCATTATAGAATATATGTCATTTGTGTTACTTCACAAAGATTTAAAGAAAGAGGTGTACATTTGAAAGATACAAGTTATTTGTGGTGTTTCTTTCTATGTTCTTTATCACATATAAATTAAATTTTCAACATTTATTTCATTTTGGCAAAAGTAAGAACAATTGTTGGTTTGATAAAAGCAGATATATTTTGTTATTCACTCAATGTTTACGTTTATTATGTTACTGAAATTTAAAACAAGATGCTTTAAAAGCAAAGTGTTTTTACTTAATTTTATAGCCCCAACGGAAACAAATTTCAGCCGAAGTTTAACAGGAAAAACATTCAACAAATGAGGAACAATAAAACTAATTTTCTCATCTCCATCATGGTTATTTCTTTTTTAATAGGTCTTGGCTGTGAAATTTCCTCTGGTTAATGAGAAAACAGTGAGTAGAGGCTCCACACTTGCCAGTTTATGAGGAATATCTTCTTAGGATCAGATGTGATTCCAGTTTCCCATTAGAACTGCCTTAGATCTTTGCTGAATTGAACAAACATGGTATCAGAAACATCTGTCAGAGATTTTGCTCCAGGTTACAATATCTAAGGTGCTCTATTAGATTGATATCCGGTGTAGTAGAGGATAGTAAATTAAGGAAAACTCTCTCTGTCAAGAAAATAGTCCTCAGCAGCTGAGCTGAGGGTAAAGGCCGGATGGATCTATGCTGATTGCACACTTTTTAAACAGAGTTAAGTTTTTCTGGTCTGTTTTTTGAGCTGAAACAATAATCAGATTTATTTATTATTGATTCCTAAAATTATCATCAATTAATGTAGTGATTGAATAATGGTTAACTAGAGTGTAAAGACTCTAAAACACAACCTGCTGAAGGCGCAAAGCAGTGTTCGCATTGATTGAGCCAAAAATGTAAAAAAGGTAGGATTTTACATTTAAGGATGAAAAAACTTTTTCTGAAAAAAAAAAAAACTGTGCCTCCAAAACTCCTCAAGTCTTATTTAAAGGCATTAACTGAATTTTTCAGTTAATCCACTTTTCACGATGAATTTCAAATGTGCAATCAATGCTTTTCTTCAAACACGGGTTTATTGAGCAACGTTTTAGAAAACTTTTTTTTATATATATATTTAGAAAAATCAATTGCTAAATAAAATAACGGATAGCTGCAGCCCTAGTCTGTTTTTACCTTAAAGAATAAATGAAGGATTTTTGCAATTTTTTTTTTTTTTTAAAGACCTGCACTCTCCACTTTAAATGCACAACCCTGTAGCTGCTGCTGAGATTAAAAGTCTATTAAACACATGCAAAGCATGCACAACCTCATTTCTCATCGTGCACATTCTGTTTAAAAGTTGCTGTTTGCATCGCTCACACAAGCTTACTTTCCAAAAGAAGATTTGCAATTTTTCCACTATGTCAGACTCACCAACGGTAAGTAAAATGAGGACGAGCATGTAGGACGGCCTTATGTTAACATGTCACCGGAATGATTGACAATTAGGAGGATCACTTATTTTGATGATCCACCCAGAAAATGAACATCTTCCACTGCATCTTTAAGGTAAACTGGCTCATCTGAGCAGATTTTTCTATGTATCCCATTGGCTTTAAAGTTATGCAATTTTTTTATTTATAAAGAGTATTCAGCCCAGTTTAATTGTAACAAGGACCCGTGGGAGACGTGCAGCCAACATGTTTTTCAATAAAAAGACATTTTTTAATATATAAGAGAAGGTCTTTGTTCTTTTAACGCTCAGAGCTGCCGCAGAAAGAACAAAAACACATTTCGTACTTTTTTAAACATGTTAAATTGCCCTTGTCATAACGGTTCAGGAAGTTCTTTCTTCAGTATAATAAGCAGAGCTGGTGCGCGCAATAAATCAGGAATTAATACACGCTGTGGGAAATAAAAGCTGTGTCCCTTTAAACTAAGCCTATGACGTTTGTGACTGCAGAGCTTGTCGAGGGTTAGCGGAGATGCAAAGTGATTTTTTTTCTTCCCGTCCCTTTCAAAGTGACGAGTGAGAGAGAAAACTAAATGTCCGTCCTTTGCTCTGTTTAATTCCTGCCATGCATTCAGAACAACCCCTGCATGAGGGTCAGAGCTCTGCAGGAGGGTGAGGTATATACAGGAATAATGGAGATGGCTGATGCAGAGTTTAATTTAAAGAGATTAGAGTCAAAAGAATAAACATGCAAACTGTATTAAAATGGAAAAGGTGAAATATTTTAGTTTTCCATAAAAAATTGATGCTGAGGTATCGTCATTCAGAATTGGTCTTAAAAGGAGGCACAATGACACAGGTTTACCAGATGGTGGTAAAACATTAACAGGTCAAAATTAAACTTCATTAGCTATGAAACAACACTCTGTTTTCAATGGCCTTGGCAGAGAGAAACGGTTGTTTTGCTCCAGGACACAATGACCTGGCCTCACTCTGGGAAACGGTGAACTGAATTGGAGGTTTGTGAGGAGTTGCACGCAAAGCTCCCCTGCTGTGCAGCACGGAGGACAG